CGCTGGCTGGCCGGCGCGGCCGCCATCCCGGCACGCAGGTGTCTCTCCCAGGGGCAGCGCTTGCACTGATGGGGCTCTTGCTCCGTGCTGCTTCTGAGCACTCGGCTGGGCTTCCCCGACCTCCTCCCCGTCGCCGCCCCATGGGCCGCCCCACGGAGCGCCTCATGGGGCGCCCACGCCGCCGCGGGCGGCGATGGAGAGGAGCTCCATCGCCGCCCGTGGCCGCCCCTCCATCGCGCCTGGTGGCCTCTCCCAGGGCGGCTTCCCCGACCTCCTCCCCGCCGCCGCCCCATGGGCCGCCCCACGGGGCGCCCCGAGGGCGCCGCCTGCGTCGGCGTGCGCCTCTGGGCTGTCGCCCGGTGGCCGCCGGTGGCTGGCCGTGGGCGCCCCATGGGGCGCTGCGGGGGCTCCCTCTGCACCACGGCGCCTGTGCACCACACTCCCAGACATCGGGCGTCTCGAAAAAATCGAGACCGAGGTTTTTCGTCGTTTGCGGCCTCTGGGCCCTCGCCGGGCCTCGGGGCCGTCCAAAAACGACTCGGGGTGGAAAACCGGTCCCGGGGAAGTGGTCGGGAGGTCGGGGGCCCGCGTCTCGAAAAAATCGAGACATCGGATGTCTGGGCTCACGGCACAACCTTGTGAGCAGGGACCGACCGTCCCGGCATTCCTGTAGTCCTGCCACGAAGTGTTCTTCGAACCCGAGCATGTTCTGAGAACAAAAACAATGTTCTTAGAACATAAACCTGATGTGTAAAACGAGTCAATCTCAACCAAACATGTTCTAAGAACATTTCGTGGAAACCACAAAAGGCTCTTAGAACATGGTTTGGTAGGCGTATAGGCGAGCCAGGACGCTTCGCCACTGCTTGAACCTTTAGGGAACCAGGAGATGACATCCGCCAGCCCCCCCTGCGGGGCCATCAGGCTGCGAGGAGTGAGTTCGCTGGTCCCTGCACCAACTCCAGCTTCCAGTTTCCCGTGTTACAGCATTGCTTTCTGCCTCTTACCGTAAACTGTCGCTGTCCGCGCGAGGGGGGGGAGCCAGAAACCGCCCTGGTTGGAGTCCCCGAATCGGGTGCTCCGAAGTTCTGCGTGGCAGTGGGACGCGCAAAATACATGAGACCCGCGCTGCCGGCGCAATGATCCCTCGTGGATCACGCTGTACTCGCGCCTCCGAAGAATCCTTTGCAAATTACACTGTGCTCGCGCCTCCGAAGCCACGATCCCTTGTAAATTACACCACATTCGCGCCCCCGAGGCCACGATACCGTGTAAATTACATCACGTCCGCGCCCCCGAGGCCATGATCCCGTGTAAATTACACCACGTTCGCGCCCCCGAGGCCACGACCCCGTGTAAATTACGCCACGTTCGCGCCCCCGAGGCCACGATCTCCTATAAGAGGCCCCAAGAGGCGCCCAAGACGCGCCCAAGAGGCTTCCTCTAAGAAGCCCAAAAGATACCCCACTAGGCCCCAAGAGGCCCCCAAGAGGCGCCCAAACCGCCTCCAAGAGGCTCACGAGAGGCTCCCCACGACACCATATACAAGAGGCCTTAGACCCACAACCCAGGCAAGGTGGCGGGATGGGCCGAAGGCCACTAGGATCCGCCGCCCCTGTTGATTCATCACAGGGGTGCCTGGCGTGCTGAACCCTTTTGGTTCTGGTTTTGGTTCTTTTCCAAAAGAACTCTCCCTGGGGCTTCGACCCGTCCTGCCGGCCACCCGATACGATTGCCCAGGACCTCAATCCCCCAAAACTCCTCCAAGACGGCTCAAGATGGCCTCCAAGATGGCCACGTTGGCCCAGGATGGCCTCCAAGATGGTCCAAGATGGCCTCGAAGTCCGCCCAAAATGGTCCAAGACGGCCTCCAAGACGGCCCAAGAGAGCCCAAGATACCGGCAAGGTCGCCCGAGAAGCCTCCAAGACGGCCCAACACAACCCAAGAGATCTCCAAGAGGTCCTCCAGGAGGGCCCGAAGAGGCCAAAATCATTGATTGCCGCTAGGTTTTTGAAAGATTTGGGAATTTGCGTCTTCTCAGCATTCCGACGGCTGAAGACGGCCCAAGAGGCCCCCAAGATCGCCCCAAGATCGCCAACGAGGCCTTCAAGATGGCCCCATGACGGCCTAAGAGGCCCCCAAGAAAGACGGCCCCAAGAGGGCCCCAAGACGGGCCAAGAGGCCTCCAAGACGCCCAAGATGGCCTCCAAGACGGCCCCGAAGCGCCCCAAGAGGGCCCCAAGCCAGTTCAGAGAGGCCCCCAAGACGGCTCCCGACGGCGTCAGACGGGCCAGGGATGCCCTAAGACGGCCAAAGAGGCCCAAGAAGCCCCCAGAGGCCCCCAAGAGGCCCAAGGAGTCCCTCAAGAGGCCCCCAAGAGGCCCCCAGCCTCCTCCTCCTCCCCCTCCTCCCCCAAGAGACTCCCAAAAGGCCTCCTCATCCTCCTCCCCCTCCGTTTTCCTAGTCCTCTCCTCCTCCTCCTCCTCCTCCTCCTCCTCCTCCTCCTCCTCCTCCTCCTCCTCCTCCTCCTCCTCGTCCTCTCCCATGTGTTCCCCGAAGGCTTTCCAAAACGGCTTGGGGAACATGTAGCCCGATAGTTTGGGCAAGCTCTGGCCCAACTGTCGGCCACAAAGGCGCTTTCCAAAAAGACAGGGGCTGGCGTCAGACCGGCTAGAAAAGCCGCAAGACGGCCAAAGAGGCCCTCAAGAAACCTTTTAAAGGCCCCCAAGAGCCTCAAGAAAGGAGGCTCCTGAGGCCTCCAAAAGACCCTCAGAGAGCTGTCATCAGGAGTGCCCACAAATGACCCAAGAGGCCGCCAGAAGGTCTCTTCCTCCTGCTCATCCTCTTCCTCCTATTCCTCTTCTACCTGTTCCTCCCTCTCCTCACTCTCCAATTCCTTCTCCACATGTTGCCCGAAGGCTTTCCAAACCGATTCGGAGAATACATGATTCAATAGCTTGGCCAAGCTCTAACCCAGCGTTCTGCCACATAGGCGTTTCCAGAAAGGCAGGGGGCGGCGGTGATTCGCCGAAGGCGTCTTCGATAAGACCAACGTTTCAATATGCGCTGATGATTCCTATCCGCCCCCGCATGCTGTTCCTAGATACGCCAAGGCAGCGCTGAGACGCACCGACGCGACTCTGTTATACCCCATTATGATAGAGAGGGGCCGGCGACAGGGGGCGAAGCCCTTACGGATAGACATAACAACTCGGAGGTCCGCGGGGATTTCTCGGATCGGCGCTGGACCCCCCTCCCTGTCGCGCGGAGCGCGCCAGGGGCGGCGCCGGAGGCGCCGCCAAGGGGGACCAGCGCCGATCCGAGAAATCCGCGCGGACCTCCGAGTTGTTATGTTCATACCATTGTTCGTCCACCCAACATTGGACTACGTAGGTTGCAACACATGGTTTTGCGACAGACTGGTTGCATCACACAGCGTAATCCACTTAGTTTGCATCACAAAGGACTGCACCACGTAGGTCGCACCCCATACACTGAACCACATGGCTTTCACAACATAGCCTGCACACCCAGAGTGCACAAACTCGCTGTTGGGGGTCAACGCTGGCAAACGTGTATGGCATACGTTCCAAACCACGCTGACTGTGCGCGAGCTATACGAGTCGTGTTTCGACGTGAACGCGCGACCATTCGGCTAACATTCACGCTCTGGAATTCGCGTGCGAGTCTGGTGCCGAAGATAGTCCCCGTCTGCCGGCGGAGCTTGCTGATGCGAACCATCCACATAAGGACGCGGTTTTCGCAGTTGTTGTTGGCCTCGCGGACGTGTCAAAACATGCTCCATGGCTGGGTGTCTTGCCCAGATAATGCCTTGTAGGCATTCGCATGCGCATTCTAGTTACCCTTGCAGGTCAGGTTGTCAAAAAACTGGAGGGGGGGGGAAAGGGCAGAATTCAAAGCATGTCCGCGCCCGTGTGAATCCCAGCACGGGTGTCAGGTACCAAGGCGTTGTTTGGTATGTAGGGTTCGCAAGTAGTTGCAGGCCTAACCCGAGGAGGAGGAAGAGGAAGAGGAGAAGGAGGAGAAGGAGCGCCCGTAGCCCAGAGAGGGGTCAGGAGGAGGAGGAGAAGGAGGAGGACTGGCCATCTGGGAGGGGTTCGAGGAGGTCAGATGACACGCTATGTGAGCCCTTCCGAGGGGACCTCTTCGTTTGCATGGCCTCCAAAACCTCGAGCTTCTGCCAAGGTGACTCTGGTTGACCCGCATTCGGGCAAGGCGTGCGGGCCTGAATCTGAAGTTCGAAGACGCTCGCGCATAGAAGAGAGATCTGCCAGCCGCTCTTGGCCAATGGCCCCGACAACGAGCAGCACGACGACCATCTTGCCAACATGGAAATTACATGTTGTACGACAGCGGCGACACGCTGACAAAAACGAACACAACCATCCTGCGAACATGTGATCTGACAAGGTGCTGTGTCCTGCAATGTGTTCCTCTCTCGCCCCTGCAGCCGCCCGCTGAGTCTATCGACCTCCCTTTGGAGGAACCTCTTCTCGCACCAGTTCCCGGGGAAGCCTTGGGCAGTCCGCTCTGCATGCGCACCGCGCCGTCGTTGCCGTCACGCGAGCACACGCGCCCGCGGGCAGCTCACCCACTCGAGAGAGCTGCGAGGAGGTCCAGGGACAGAGAGAAAGAGAGAGAGAGAGAGATAGAGAGAGAGAGAAAGAGAGAGAGAGAGAGAAAGAGAGAGAGAGAGAGAAAGAGATAGAAAGAAAGAGGTCTAGGGACAGAGAAAGAGAGAGAGAGAGAGAGATAGAAAGAGAGAGAGAGAGAGAGGGAGAGAGAGAGAGAGAGAGAGAGCCGATCCCGAGTTTGGAAGGGCCTCCGCGGCGCCGCGGAGCAAGAGCGTGAGGAGGTATCGCATGGGAGCCGTCGTCGCCGCAGCCGGGCCCTCACCAGCGCGAGTGAATTGCGAGGAAGGCTCGAGCTGGAGCAGCACTCCTGAATGTGAGAAAAACAAATGACCAGAGCCGTTGTCGTCGCAGATGGTTTTCACCAGCTTGGACGACTTGCAGTGGAGTCTCCTTCCAGAGCGTCGTCCTTGAGTGTGGGAACCACTCTGGCCAGGGTGTATCGGAATAAAGTGTGAGGAACCATCGAGTGGGAGCCGATGTCGTCGTAGCTGGGCTTTCACCAACTTGAATGAATTGCAAGAAAGTCTTGGGCGAGTTTGGGGGCCTCTGTGGCCAGGGCGCCTCCGAATAAAGTGTGAGGATTTATCGAGCAGGAGCCGTTGTCGTCGCAGTTCGGCTTCGAAGGGCGTGGCTTGGAAATCAAGCCCGCGCCCGAGCGGGAGCGTCGCTGCCAAAGAGAATGAAGTCGGCGTCGAGGCGAGAGCGCCCGGAACCGTTTCCATAGGTCAGCACGAACTGCTATTTAGAGGTGAATGCGGCCAGACCTAGGACAGAATAGCATCCTTCAAGAACATGAGGCCCTCCGCCGGCCAAACTGAAGAACGTTCGAGGGTAACCCTCCCCCAGGAAACACCAGAACATCCAGCAGACACGAAGAACCACCTCAGGGCACCCTCCCCGAACGCCCCTCGATCTTATGCGCCGGCCCGACCGCATTCGAGGACGACCACGACGACGAGTCGTCCGAGCACGATGACAGCGACGACGACCACCGCCACCACCACGACGGCGAGCAGCACGTGCGGCACACCGGTGACGGCAGCGGGCCAGGCACGCGGCACACGCCCCGCCCCGCGAGCAGCGGCTCCGCAACGAGGCGCCGAGGGCCCCGATCGCCCCACCCCGCCCTCCTCCTCCTCCTCTTCCTCCTCCTCCTCCTCCTCCTCCTCCTCCTCCTCCTCTTCCTCCTCCTCCTCCTCCTACTCCTACTCCTACTCCTACTCCTACTCCTACTCCTACTCCTCCTCCTCCTCCTCCTCCTCCTCCTCCTCCTCCTCCTCCTCCTCCTCCTCCTCCTCCTCCTCCTCCTCCTCCTCCTCCGGGCGTCCTCGCCCCCGTCGCTCATGATGTAGATCGGCGAGCCAGGGTAGAACTCCTCCCCCCGCGGGCCCGGAGAGGACCCGCAAACCCAGAGTCTCGACGCTCCAAAACAGAGATGTGGGGCGTCCGGTTTGGGGCCGCGTGCTGCCTCCGAGGGCCCTCGCCGGGCCTCGGGACCGTCTGAAAACGACTCGGGGCGAAGAACCGCACCTGGGCAAAGTGGTCCAGACCTCCGGGGGCCCACGCGGCGAAACAGTTGGAGCGGCCAGATGTCGGGGCGGAGAGGACCAGCAGAGGCAGGACGTGCACGAGTGCGCACGGGGGTGCATGGCCAGGCGCGCGCAGGCGCCCGCAAGCCGGAGCGTGCGGCCGCGGAGGCACGTGCCGCAAGGCCCAGCCGCAGGTGGAGGCAGGGCAGCACGATGGGGTGGAGGAGACGAGGGCAGGATGATAAGCACTGGAGGAGCAAGTGGGGGTGAGATGGGGCTCGGATGTCAACCCTGTGACTGGTGACCCACCCCCCCTGAGAGCGTCTTGAGGTGAGCCCAGACGGAGAACGGCTGGGACTTCGAGAGGACCCAGCGGAGCTGTAACGACCGGGTCCCGAGGGCAGCCTCTGAGAGAGAGGCATGTTCAGGAAGGCAGGCTCTGAACCGCCACCAGATGAGCTCAGGTTCGCGACCAGGGTACTCCAAAGACTTTCGCCGAGATGTAACGCACGCTGAGGTCCGCCCCCCACGGGCGAAAAGACAGGGACTCCCCGGGCTCCTCTCGGAGGCTCTTGCGGGCGGGCGCACGGAGAGGACTCCAAGCGCAAGGAGGTGATCTCCTCCAGGGAGGAGCTCCTGTCCGCCACTGGAGTCGGCCACGTCGGACAGACATAGGGCCGCTGGCACTCGAGCATGTCCGCCACCGGCGACCACCGCGGCACGCCGAACTCGCTCTGCTCGGGACGGTGGGCCTCGGCAGCCTCGCTCCGAAGCCTGCGAGGGTACCGACGGTTGCCCTGGCGGAGAGCCCAGGGCGCTGACGATGGAGGGCCAGCTCGCGCTCGAATCTGAGACTCGTCGGTCGGAAGAAGTGGGCAAACACATAAAAGTAGGAAGGCGGACAGAGTGGAGTGGGTCCAGGCCCTCCCAGAGAACAGCAAAACACAGCAAAAACATGCCGATGCTTGAAGTAAGAAGGCGCTTGAAGTAGATTGGGATCTGGGAATCCAACAATACCTACTTTCAACGACCGGCATGTACCCGTGAAGGTCCGCCCCATCCCACCGCCGATCAAACGCGGTCCCCCGTTTTCTGAGGGCGCGAGCGAGGGGAGCAACGCCAGGCATTCGCCACTGCATCCAGCTGCAGGGCCGTGGGGGTGGAGCATCGAGGCCAGGAGCGGAACGATGGGAGGTCGTGACGGCCGAAGGAATTCGAAGGGGCCCTAGGACACACAGAAAAATACACACAAATAACAGGATTCCCCATACTTCCCCATATTTGGGGAGGGGTGTTTTCCCCCACTTCCCATATTTTCCAATATTTTCCGGGGAATCGACGATTCATTGTGTCTGTGTGTTTTCCCCCTCCTGAGAACTGCGGGGGAGCCTCAAAGTTCCATGCGAGCGTAATATTGCTTGCGAGTGAGTTCCAGCAAAGTGGAAGACTCGCGAATCGGTTTGTAACGGGCACGCACGTGCACTCATACCATGGTATCGCCGCCTGGCTCGGGGCTCGGCCCATCGCGATCGCTCGGGCCTGTGACCACCATGTCTCGCCAGCCATCTGCCGTTGGTCTCGAAGAGTGGCCCCTGGAACTATCAGAACGCCTGATAACTTGGACCACTAGCGAATAAGGAACCCCAGGGCAGGACTCCAACGGCAACCCGAGCCTGAATGCGTGTGTGTGCACCTCGTCGGTGCATTCCTGAACGAGCGGAACTACCGCGCGCTTCGCTGTCTGAAGCTCGAGATTTGCCAAGAGTGGAAAATGCTGAGCAATGCGGGAAGCTGGGCGACATCATTGAGAACGACTCCTATGTCATCGGTACAGGTGCCCAGGGTGGCTGCTCCTTGTGATGGGGATGGCGATGGCGAGGCGTCGGAGGAAGAGGCCAAGCCCAAGTGCCCAGGGGGAGCCAATGAGGGGGGGGGCCTTGTGGGACGCCAGCTGTGCCCAGGAACGTGGGTATGACCACCAAGCCCACCGCGAGATGAGCAACTGATTCAGAAGTGAGGGAGAGGATACCCCAATGAAAGCCTGAGAATATGAGAGCGTTCCAACACCAGTCGGAAACAGGCCCGGCTCATACTGGGGACCGCAGCATTGCTACCAGAACTGAGGAAGATCGGGTCGTAGCGGAGTTCACTACACTGACCCGCCTAGCAGCGGCACGCGTTTTTAGTCGGCGGCACAGAGGATCCTCAGGCGCGGACGGCAGATAGAAGTGCCAATTGCGATCGAGAGTTGCCGAAGGCACAGTGCACAGACAAGCAGCGGCACACACACACACACACTGAGAATGTAACGGGACAGGTTGCGCCCCCGAACGAAAACCTTGCAGGACAGGGTGGACCTTCTAGACCGCACAGCGTGTTGCCGCTTCTGCTTGAGCACTGACGCCAAGAGCTTGCTGCCCCAGCTCTTCAGGGCAAGAGGCCTCAGGGCCCCAGGGCCCACGGCTTTCGGATGCAGTGGAAATGTCCCGAGTTTCCTCGCCCTTGCAAAGGCGAACATATTGTGATTAAGACCTTGCGGGGCTGGGTGGCCCTCCATCAGCTTAAGGAGGAAGCGGAGGAGGACGTTGGCACAGGGTGAGTGACCTCGCCATGCTGCATATACGTTTGTCGGTCAAGGCCCGGAGCTGAATCTCTGGCCCGACCGACGCGAGCGCTGCTGGAGCTCTTCCTCAGACAGGGCGCGGAAGTACAAATCGTGAAGCTGCAACAAGCGGCTGTCTCAGAAGTCTGACATGCACTGCCCTGGCATTGGCTTTCCCGTGAGATCAGCCTGCCAGAACTGGCCCAACACCCGAGCCATTCAGCCCGGGATCCTGGACAAGCTCGCTGTGGTGGCCTCCCTGGGAGGCCCGACTGCCCCGAAGAATCTGAAGGCTCTGCTTCGGTCGCCAGGGCAACGCTCGTCGGACGGATATCTCCTGGACGTTCCCCGAGGTTATGTTGCTCCCCTCGCACTTAAGGACCACGTCCCAAAAATAATTGCGAGCACCCAGGAAAGTGCCGAAACAGTGTCGAAACGGTGTCGAAACAGTGTCGGACGAGTGTCTCCCAGGGCCCGACACGTGGAAACGCTCCAGTCTCGGTACTTTTCTGGTGCTCGAAATTCTTTCTGGTAATCAAGGCGTGATCTGGCCTGGCCCCGCGCGTGCACGAGCAGCAGCGTGTTGTTGCATGCGAGAGTGCCTCTGGGTGTGCTGCACCCTTCCGTCCCGCTCCGAAGCCCTCCTCGTCCGCAGGCAGAACGCGGTGGCCAACCACTTGCAGGAACGGTGAGAAGGTGCAGGAGGAGAACGAGGAGAAAGAGGAGGAGGAGCAGGAGTGAACGTCCCAGAGGAAGGGGGAGGGGGGGAGGAAGAGGAGGGGGAGGAGGAGGAGGAGGAGGAGGAGGAGGAGGAGGATGAGCAGGAGGGAGGGAGAGAGGCGGGAGGAGGAGGCAGGAGGACGGAAGTGGCAAGAACAGGAAGGGGCAGGAGGCAGGATAAGGGTGGGGGGGTCCAGGCGCCAGCTCTGTGCACAGCCTGCTGGGTCCCCCTGGGGTCCTTGATCTTCAGCACCTGGTACTTGATTGCCGGGATGCCGTCGAAGCAATGGATGTAAAAGCCGTACTTAGCCCTGACCCCGGCCGCATCATCCTGCTGCTCCTCCTGCTCCTGCTGGTTGTCATCGTCATCATAGAGGTCCCCATCGTCATCCTCATCGGCGTCGAAGTCGGCAAGCATGGTACTCACCATCACCGCTAGAATGCATCGTCGTCTCCATCGCCACCATCAGCATCTTCATCATCATCATCAGCATCATTATCATCAGCATCAGCAGCAGCAGCATCAGCATCATCATCAGCATCATCATCGTCGTCGCCGTCATCAGCATTATCATCCTCAGCCTCGTCCTCATCCTGCTCATTATCCTCCTCCTTCTCCTCATCATCAGCAGCAGCATCGTCGTCACACTCGTCGTTATCGTCATCGCCATCCCTCATTCACTCACTCATGCCTCCATCTTCATCCTGCTCACTCTCCTCAATGTTCCCCCATCGTCCACCATCGATGCATTCCTACTCGCTCGTCGTCCTGCTAAACCTCTTCTTCATCATCATCATCCTCCTCCTCCTCCTCCTCCTCCTCCTCCTCGGTTCACGCCGTGATGACGCGGGCGCGCGGCTTCTGACACCGCGCGGCTCGTCCAGGCTTCCGCGACCCCGGGCTCTCCTGCTGCAGCGCAAGGCAGCTCGCCACCGGCCCGGTGCTGGGCCAAAACGCGGCGCTCGGCCTGAGACGCCCGTGCCGACATCGCCGCCGCAGCAACGCGTCGCCACCGCTGTCCTTCTCCTCGGCGCTGGCGTCTGGCGGACGAGGCTGCGACTCGTCATCGCCGCGCGCCGCCTCCTGCAGTGACCTCGATTGCGTCAAGAATCGGCGCTATGCTCGAAAACCGTGGTAAACGTGCAGAGGAGAGGCACAACACCATTCGGAGCCCACGCTGAAATGACTGCAGCGGCTCACGACCGGCAACATTGGATAAGGACGGCTAGAAGAGGCAAGGACGGACGGGTAGCCTTGACGAAGTGAGGTAAGAATATTGTGGCCGTTGGACTTTGCTTCGTCGCTCCGAAGATGTGACCGTCTGCGCCGCAGCATGGCGCGATCCGCGCAGCTGGTGGGACGTCCCTCCACGATGAGAGTGGGCCATCTCCTGGCGCCATCCAGCAACGCCGCTGCCTCGACAGCACAACCGTTCGTGTCACTGGGCAACCACCAATTCCAAGCTACTGCGGCCCCAGCAGCCCAGAGCCCGATGAAGAAGTCGCGAAGCCCCATCGCAGCGTCCAGGGCAGGAAGTTCCGCAGCCCATTACAGCCAAAACCATGATCCAGAAAATCAGAACTTAAGACATCTGGGCCAGTGTTCTGGAAGTTTCTCTAAGCAGGCCTGGGCAAATTTCGGTTGTTCACGCTTGAAAGGCGCACATGCTCAAGAAACTCGGCTAGCTTTCTGGCAAGTTGGCCAAGAATGGCCGGCCCTGCTTTTCGGGAGGAGGTTTCTTGATCATATGCTCGACCGTACGGATGAGCGTCAAGCCCTCAAAACCTCCGCTGAACACAGAGCCCTCAAAACGTGGCCAACACCGACGCTGGTCGCCCGAGCTACTCATGCCCGCAGCTGCACCGACCTCGCAGGTGAGTGAAGACGAAGCCCCACGAAAGGCCTGGCCTCAAGGGAATCGCAGCTCCGCGCCACGTTCCAATCGCCGCCCAGGGGCCATCGAGGCTCCGCACGCCAGCGCGGCCACCACCTATGACGGCTACGACTCATTCAACAGCCTCGCACCTGTTCAGGAGCGGCTCGTTGAAGGTGAGCGCTAATGCATTGAACCGCCTTTCGCCCGTGCGGCGGCCACGGGCAAGGCAGCTTCGCCGACGCCAGAAGGTCGACGCCGCCGCCTGCCCCGTTTGAGAGACACCTCCGTGAGGGTCCCGCCCTGAACCCAGCACCCATGTGCCGCCACTGCTGTGGCCACCTGCCCGTGAGACTGCCTCGTCAGCGTCAGCTCGCACCACGCCGGCGCGGTCACCTACGACACCCTCGACAGCGTCGACCCCCCCCCGCCCGCCCTGGAAGAGTTGACTCTGGAGCGGCACCCCGTCGCAGGCCCTGACCAGAGCGATGGGAGCTCGTGCCCTCCAGGGTAACACATTCCCCTCTCTGAGGGGTGCCGTCTTCCCAGACCCCCGACAACAGGATTTTGTCAGAACGTCGACCCCCAAAACTCTAGACCCATTTCCCGAGACGACTGGTTTCTCATCCTGAGCCGCTTTTTGGCGGTCCCGAGGCCGGCACAGACCTCCAGAGGCCGAACAGAACGAAGAGCCTTCGGTCGTGGTTCTTATTCAAAACGCGATGGGGGTCTGGCGTTTGACTTGCGAGTCTCTTCCCCTCGGGGCTGTCCCCTCGGGGGCGACCCCTGGCGACAACGGGCGGCGCCGAGGCCCCCAGGGCCGCCCCGGGCCGCCCCCGACGGCACCGCAGGCGCCCGACGACACGCAGCACCAGGGTACACCTGACCGCCTGGGCGCCGGGAAGAGGGGCCCTGCAGCGCTCGGAGGGCAGAGGCCCAGTGGGACGCTCGGAGGGCCAGGAGAGAGCCCAGGATCATTCATCATCATCATCATCATCATCATCATCATCATCAGCAGCAGCAGCAGCAGCAGCATCATCATCACCATCATCATCAGCAGCAGCATCAGCATCAGCATCCGCATCAGCATCAGCATCAGCATCATCATCATCAACAACCTCCTCATCATCATCATCATCATCATCATCAGGAGTAGCATCATCATCAGCAACAGCAGCATCATCATCATCAACAGCATCGTCATTAACAGCAGCAGCATCAGCATCAGCATCATCAGCAGCATAATCAGTAGCAGCAGCATCATCATGAGCATCATCAGCAGCAGCATCATCATCGTCCTCATCATCATCGTCGTCATCATCAGCATCAGCATCATCACGAAAGAGCCCAGTGGGACGCACAAATACATACTAGTACTATTAATCCTCCTTGGAGGCGCGCGTCCGACCCGAACATATAGTATACCCATATTGTAATGTATCGTTTCCCGAGCGGTGTGGCCAGAAAGCGCCCGCCACGACGCATTATACCATAAGAGATCTCGGTGCGCGCGTCGCCCCTGCCACGACGCGTATACTATGAGATTTCTCGGTGCGCGCGTCGCCCCTGGGGGGGCGACGCACATATAGTATTAGTATGTTGGGGTGACGCCGAGAGAAGCCTAGAGGACCAGGAGAGAGCCCAGGATCGGATCGAGGAGTCGGATCGGCGATCGACATCGGTCGGATCTGCGGAACTCGGCAGCCAAGTCGGAATAAGTCGAATTGGCACACACATCGGCAGGCTCGCAGGCCTTCATGCAGAACTCGGAATACACAGATCGGAACCGGAAGCCGAATCGAATCGGAATCGGAAGCCATTGGCATCGAATCGAATCGAGTCGGAGGAGTCGAGACGAGCCCTGTCTCAGGACCCCCCAGAGGTGTGCCTATCCCGAAGGTCCAGGTTTACCTCCGCCGGCTTCCGCCGGCACAGCCGCTCTCGCCTTACTGCCCCCAGCTTCCGCCGAAGCAGAGAAGACCACCGATCGATCCATCGAAGGCGAGGCCCTCTCCGGAACGCCCCCGACAGGTCAAGGCGTGTCCCCCACTCGCAGCGCTGGCATCTGAGACGTGGTCGCGGAGACGTCGGCGTTTGGCGCGTCCTCGACGGCTGCGCCAGCACGACCCTCACCCACGAACCACGCCACCTAGCGACCACGCTACACGCTCCCTTCTGCACGCCCCCTGCTCCCCATCCCTCCTCCCCATCATCCCTCCTCATCAGCCCTCATCAGCATCCATCCTCGTGATCATTCCTCCTCCACTTTTTACTAGCACTCAGGCTCCATGAATAAGGGTATGTCGGCACTCCAGGGGGGACTCCGAAGGGCCTCTAGAGGCACTGTGGGGATTTGGGCTCCAACAGGTTCTAGAGTTTTCTGGGAAGGATGGTGGAGGAGCAGGAGAAAGTGGAGGAAGAAGGGCAAAGGAGAGGGTGGAGGAGGTGGGAGGAGAAGGAGGAGGTGGAGGAGGAGATGGTTCGATAAAAAGGAGGAGGAGGAGCAGGGTCGAGGAGGAGAAGGAGGAGGAGGAAGGAGGCAGAGGAGGAAAAGGAGGAGGAGGAGTGAAAGGAGGTTGGGAGGGAGGTAGAGAAGGAAGAGGGGGAGCAGAAGGAGGAAAGAGAACGCTGAGGAGCAGGGAGGAGAAGCGAAGAGGACGCCCCCTTCACAGTTTCTCGTCCAGTTCCACGCGCACGGGAACCTCAGAGACAGAAAATCTGGCACGCACATGAACCTGGGAGACATGAAAACTGCCCTACTGCCTGAGCCAGCCGAGGGCAATGCATTACCGCACGGCGTCATGCAGCATGTGTGCCTGCTGTGTTCTCACACATGCTAATTCGCGTGATGCTCTGTAGTAGGAGCGGTAGAGGGATGTGGTATATCTGACGTACAGTCTGGGCGTTGACCTAAGGAACCCTAAATAAGGAACGAGGCCCTTTGTTCCCATTGGTTAAGCTTTGATTCCCCATGGAAGACGAAAGGGAAACCCAAGGCAAACTGTACAACACTCAAGGAACGCCGAGCCCCTCCCCAACGAAACGGTTTTTTTCTTCAGCGCCCCGACTGTAGTGGGATTGACAATCAGATCTGCACCCAGAGATTCAACAGGAGGTTTAGACTTGACTACCGTAGAAGCTGCGGAAAGTGCTGTATGTAGTGCGAGCTGTATCGTTGGTCGTCGTAAGGTCTGCACTGGGACTTAAACTGTAGGAGGCGCTGTTGTAAGAGTGTTCGTGTGATTTGCAATGGGAGCTGTCCTACTGGCTGCAGTACTGAGTTAGTGCTACTGCAAAGAGACCTGCACGAATGGCTCTATTAGAGAATCCAAGGCCGCGCTAACGGCAATGTTGGTTAACGGCGTTTGTGGGAATATGATGCTTGTGACACCGAGCTCGCGCAGAACGAATTGTAGGAAATCGCGAACCACACTTTC